AAGCTTGTCTTCCGAACTAAAAAATGTTCCATGACAATCTTTCTTAATTGGAGAAAAATATCTCTTTTGAACTTTTAAATAGAAACTAAAACATGCTTGGCGTTAAAAATGATCAAAGATGAAATAACTGATTTGAAAAACAAGATATATAAAAAATACTAATATAACTTCATAAGAGTATGTTCTCCAACATCAGAAAGCTTGTCAATTTTCTTTCCCTTGGGGAGAATCTTCTTTTTTCTTTCTTCTCTTTCGAACGAAAAAATGGTCCATGACAATCTTTCTTAATTGGAGAAAAATATCCCTTTTGAACCTTTAAATAGAAAATAAAGCATGCTTGGCGTTAAAAATGATGAAAGATTAAATATCTGATTTGAAAAACAAGATATATAATAAATATTAATATACCTTCAAAAGAGTATGTTCTCTAACATCAGAAAGCTTGTCAATTTTTTTTCCCTTTGGGTGGATCTTCTTTTTTCTTTCTTCTATTCCGAACGAAAAAATGCTCCATGACAATCTTTCTTAATTGGAGAAAAATATCCCTTTTGAACCTTTAAATAGAAAATAAAACATGCTTGGCGTTAAAAATGATCAAAGATGAAATAACTGACTTGAGAAACAAGATATATAAAAAATATTAATATACCTTCAAAAGAGTATGTTCTCCAACATCAGAAAGCTTGTCACTTTTCTATCCTTTGGAGGGGATCTTCTTTTTTCTTTCTTCTCTTACGAACGAAAAAATGTTCCATGACAATCTTTCTTAATTAAAAAAAAATATCCCTTTTGAACCTTGAAATAGAAAATGATTGGCTTTAAAAATGATTTAAGATGAAATAACTGATTTGGAAAACAAGATATAAAAAAAATATTAATATACCTTCAAAAGAGTATGTTCTCCAACATCAGAAAGCATGTCAATTTTCTTTCGTTTGGGGTGGATCTTCTTTTTCTTTCTTCTTTTCCGAACGATAAAATGTTCCATGACAATCTCTTCGTAATTGGAGAAAAATATCCCTTTTGAACCGTAAAGTAAAAAGAATTCTTGGCGTTAAAAATGATCAAAGATGAAATAACTGATTTGAAGAACAAGGTATATAAAAAATATTAATATACCTTCAAAAAAAAGTTCTCCAACATCAGAAAGCTTGTCAATTTTCTTTCTCTTGGGGAGGATCTTCTTTTTTCTTTCTTCTCTTCAGAACGAAAAAATGTTCCATGACAATCTTTCTTCATTGGAAAAAAATATCCCTCTTGAACCTTTAAATAGAAAATACTTGGCGTCTTGTCAATTTTCTTTCCTTTGGGGTGGGTCTTCTTTTTTCTTTCTTCTCTCCCGAACGATAAAATATTCCATGACAGTCTTTCTTAATTGGAGAAAAATATCCCTTTTGAACCTTGAAATAGAAAATAAAACATGCTTGGCGTTAAAAATGATCTAAGATTAAATAACTGATGTGGAAAACAAGATCTATAAAAGGTATTAATATACATACCGTCAAAAGAGTATTAATTTTCTTTCCTTCGGGGTGGATCTTCTATTTTCTTTCTTCTCTTCCGAACGATAAAATGTTCCATGACAGTCTTTCTTAATTGGAGAAAAATATCCCTTTTGAACCTTGAAATTGAAAATAAAACATTTTTGGCGTTAAAAATGAGCCAAGAGGAAATAACTGACTTGGAAAACAAGATCTATAAAAATATTAATATACCTTCAAAAGAGTATTTTCTCCAACATCAGAAAGCTTGTCAATTTTCTTTCCTTAAGGGTTGATCTTCTTTTTTCTTTCTTCTCTTCCGAAGGATAAAATGTTCCATGACAGTCTTTCTTAATTGGAGAAAAATATCCTTTTTGAACCTTGAAATAGAAAATAAAACATGCTTGGCGTTAAAAATGATCTAAGATTAAATAACTGATTTGGAAAACAAGATTTATGAAAAATATTAATATACCTTCAAAAGAGTATGTTCTCCAACATAAGAAAGCTTGTCAATTTTCTTTCCTTCGGGGTGGATCTTTTTTTTGTTCCTTCTCTTCCGAACGATAAAATATTCCATGACAGTCTTTCTTAATTGGAGAAAAATATCCCTTTTGATCCTTGAAATAGAAAATAAAACATGCTTGGCGTAAAAAATGATCTAAGATGAAATAACTGATTCTGAAAACATGATCTATAAAAAATATTAATATACCTTCAAAAGACTATGTTCTCCAACATCAGAAAGCTCGTCAATTTTCTTTCCTTCGGGAGGGATCTTCTTTTTTCTTTCTTCTCTTCCGAACGATAAAATGTTCCATGACTGTCTTTCTTAATTGGAGAAAAATATCCCTTTTGAACCTTGAAATAGAAAATAAAACATGCTTGGCGTTAAAAATGATCTAAGATGAAATAACTGATTCTGATAGCATGATCTATAAAAAATATTAATATACCTTCAAAAGACTATGTTCTCCAACATCAGAAAGCTCGTCAATTTTCTTTCCTTCGGGAGGGATCTTCTTTTTTCTTTCTTCTCTTCCGAACGATAAAATGTTCCATGACAGTCTTTCTTAATTGGAAAACAATATCCCTTTTGAACCTTGAAATAGAAAATAAAACATGCTTGGCGTTAAAAATGATCTAAGATGAAATAACAGATTTGGAAAACATGATATATAAAAATTATTAATATTCCTTCAAAAGAGTATGTTCTGCAACATCAGAAAGCTTGTCTCTTTTCTTTCCTTTGTAGTGGATCTTCTTTTTTCTTCCTTCTCTTCCGAAGGAAAAAATGTTCCCTGACAGTCTTTCATAATTGGAGAAAAATATCCCTTTTGAACCTTGAAATAGAAAATAAAACACGATTGGCGTTAAAAATGATCTAAGAGGAAATAACTGATTTGGAAAAAGGGATATATAAAAAATATTAATATACCTTCAAAAGAGTATGTTCTCCAACATCAGAAAGCTTGTTAATTTTCTTTCCTTTGGTTAATTACTTTTACATTAACTACTAAGACATAAATACTTTCGGTAGACCTTGGTATCAAAAGTCATAGTTCATTAAAAAAGGCTATATATCATGGAAAAAGGCTATTTATTTAGATTTTTTCCGTCAAAATCAAATCAAAGTTATCAATCAATTACAAAAATATTGTGCTGTCAGTGATCCACAAAGGCACATGTTTCTTTGAATGCATACCAATGAGTGCCAAAATAATCAACATATGGATTTCAAATAACTGGAGTGACCTAAAAAGAGCAAAAAACTGAACTTTTGGACGGCTTTCACATTATTTACTGTCATCTTCAAAACTATGCAACTGTAAACTTTGTTCGAAAAGAATCCTTATATTGAATAAATGAATGGTTTGAGACTGAATGGATGTATCAAATTTAGCGTAGAAGGAAAATGAAGTATGTCAACGAATCAGTGACTAAGCGAATCAGTAAATCGGCATATTAGAGAATTGGATTATCATCGAGTTCGAAAATCAACGGCAATTGAATCAGTTTATAAGAAAATAATAATGATTTTAATTCTGTAGGTTTTTGGTATTACAATCGGAGTTTTTTTTTTCATCAAGTTAAAAAAATTTTTTTAGACTTTAAATTGGAAAAAGTTTTGAATAAGTGTTACGAAACACAAAATAATACCTTCAGCTTTTTTTCCCCCACATATTAGGGGGAGGGAGACCGTTACTAAAAAAAGTAAAATCATTTTGTGTGAATATGATCACAAAATTTAAAACTTTTTCACTTATGCAGAAAAAATTATAAAAAATTTATTGCTTACACTCAATAAAAAAATAAGATAACTTATTTTTAATGTTTGTACTTTTAACGAAATTATAGAACAAACAATAGAGTTACTCATAATAAATTATAGTTTAACTCTCATAGTAACCTTTAATTTTATTATGATTAAGCTTCGTACGTTTACTTTATGCTAATACTTTTTAAGCTCATTTTTATATTTTATTTCTTTATTTTAATTATAAATATTGTATTTTTCTTATATGATAATTTGTTAGATAAAAAACTTCAAACAAGCTTCAAAATTATTTTTAAAAAATACTGCTATATAAAGATGTTGCTTGTTATTCTCATTATTAAAATTTATTATTTCATTTTATTTACAATTTTTGTATTTTTCGGTGGGATAATTCGATAGATTAAAAATTCTACAAGTTTTAATGATAGTTAAAAGCACTGCGCTAAATGAATGTTATTTGTAACTTTGTATTTAGTGCACGCATTAGTTATTATTATATGTATTAGATAGTTTAGTGCATGCATTTGTAATTAACTGTATGTATTTAAATACTACTTCTTTTTCATCATCCCCTTGACATACGAAGATGTCTGGGAGACGTCATTTGTTTCTTATGTCAAAACAATAATTGACGTGTCTCAGACGTCCTCAACACAGAGATGCCAACTTGCTCAGGACAGCAAATAAATATTTTAAAGTGGTAGCTTATAATAAAATAATTTAGTAGATTTTCATTCACTACTATTTCAAAATAATTCGCAGGCTTGTATAATTCACCACTTTATAGTAGTTATTTCATGCTATACCTCTTAAAAAGCAAGCGAAAATAGTCAAAAATTTGCAAAATTTAGTTTGCTGTTATTTACCGTTTTTTAAAAATTATTTTGTCGTGTCCGGAGCAGTTGGCATCTCTGTCAACATTCCGTTGCAAGTTGTTGCTTACATTGCAATCAAAGATCATGAAATTAATAATTCCTATATCAAGAAATTAATAATTCCGCACAGTTTAAAATTTTAAAATGATATGCCAATGAGTTAAATATTAAATTAAATATTTCGACTTACAATTTTTAATCATCGGACAACAGCTTTTGTTTACTTCATCATTTAGGCTTTCACAATTTTTACTCACCTTTAAAAGACGACCTTCAACCAAGAATTCAAAATACTAAATGATTCTTATAATGTTTTTTACTTATTGTTAAAATGAGTTTGCAACAATGGGCATTTTGACATAAAATATTATTTAATGGCAATGATTGTTTAATTACATCTAATAGGTCTCTTGCAACAATGGTGTGCACAGGTAAATAACAATTAAAGAGTAGCTCAATATCCTTTGTTAGAGGCTGCATTTCTAGATGATATGAAACCGCACAAAATGAAATTTCGATATATTTGCAAATTTAAAATTTTATCTGAGTGTCCAAGACGACTCTCTAAGAATTCGTATTTTTAGAATCTGCTTAAAATATATATATATATATATCCCATACATTATGAAATTATATAAGCCTACGAATTAATTAAAAATAGTGGTTGATAAAAATCTACTAAATTGAATTTATTAAATCAAGAATCACAATTACTAAGCTACCACTTGAAAATATTTATTCGCTGTCCGGAGCAAGTTAGCATCTCTGTGCATATAAATTAAACTATTTTTGTTTGTTCTATATTGCATTAATTTCTCGAAACCACTTTGGTAACGATAATAATGTAAAAAAAATTTAAAAAATTTCTCTAATTATGTGTTTCCTCTTTCCCATTCATCTTTAACTTTAGCATAAAACCGCATCAATAATCCAAAGTAACCGTAACAGATGATTAAGACCAGTGATACAATTTTAATCACGAAACCATAATAGCCATCATAAACCATAACAGATGATTAAACTTGTATATTATTAGCCAAATAGAAACCTAAAACTTTAAGCAATTTGTATTGATTATTAATTTCTTAAATTTCAGC